ATGAAGAGGGAGAGATGAAGAGGGAGAGATGAAGAGGGAGAGATGAAGAGGGAGAGATGAAGAGGGAGAGATGAAGAGGGAGAGATGAAGAGGGACAGAGATAAAGCGAGGAAGATTAGGAGGGAGATCAGGAGATGGGTGTTAGAGTGAAGAATAGTGGGGCAGGAGAGTTGATGAGAATGGAGAACTGAGAGGACAGATATGTAGACAAAGCCCATCTCAGGAGTGAGGGGGTGCCTAATGTACTCTTCTCATACATTCACTGTATGGTCGTTAGGCCATCTGCCCTCAGTCTCTCATCCTAATGCGGACATCGCGTCGACTTCAGTTGTTACTTATAAATACCCTTTATACCTTGGACAAAGATCAACCTCTTCTCAACTTTTCAGCTTTGTCTCTTGCACTTCAGCACTAATCAACAAGAACGTCAAGCAAAGCCCATAACCTAAGCTATCTTTGACCAGCAGTGGTGAGCACATGGTGCATAGGCAACAGCTTCCTTTCCCGATATCCATGATACAGCGGAACACAGCTGTACTTGGCAGACATGGGAGCATGTTTGCCCGATCGACACAACATTGCACAAGTCAACATTCATCTACCTATCCGATATCACAAGTTCAATCCGGATAGCGCATATATTCTACACTGAGCATTGCCTAAGCTAGGTCAACTACCCTTCATTTTTTCTGACGATAACAGTCGGGATGCCGTTGTAGCCCGAAGTCATGGAACCGAGACCATTAAGTTTCTTCTGATGAGAGCAACGAAATAGAGGGAAATACAAACTATTGTAAGATCATGTGGTTGTTATTACTCAAGTTAATGATAAACCCTTACCACTTTCAAAATTTCAGGTCGGAGGGTTAATCGGGAGATCTTCGTGAAATTGCCACAGGATTGCTGTGTAGCATTGACTACAACTTATTCAGTCAATGATGATAAGGACACCGAGTGTACTCGATCTGGCAGATACGTTATTCCTGCGAGACGATGGACAACATTGATTATGCAAGTATGTGCCAGCCAGAAGCTAGAAACTAATGACTTGCAGATCGCGTCTGGTCATACAACTGCCCAAACACCGATCCCGAACGTCCAAGCAACACCGAGGGAGCATCATACTCCACCACCCGACCCTCATCAAACACTGCAATCCGATCATAATCCACCAAATTATGCACGCAATGCGCAACCGCAATAACAGTGCATCCGCGGAACTCCTCCTGAATAACTCGTTGCATAGCCTCGTCTGTCTTAACATCCACGTGACTCGTTACTTCATCTAGCAGGAGAATCTTCTGTTTCGAGACAATAGCCCGCGCTAAACAGAGCAGCTGCTTCTGGCCCGCCGACAACGGCAACTCCTCTATACCCGTGTCAAGACCACCATGGGCTGCGATGTGCTCCCTAAGCTGAACCCTCTCCATGGCATGAAGCACCTTGTCATCATCCATGGTCTGGAACGTGGTAATATTCTCCCGGACCGTGCCGGGAAATAGGACTGGTTCCTGAGGTATCACGGTGATCTTGCTGCGGATGCTATCACGCGGACAGGATTGCAGGCTCACGCCATCGATACTGATATCCCCGCTCTGGATCTCGATCATGCGCAGGAGGGCCAGAATGAGAGAGCTTTTGCCGCTGCCGGTGCGGCCGCAGACGCCTAGCTTGGAGCCGGCAGGGATGCTTAGTGTTATATTGCGGAGAATGGGGGAGGCGGTTGGTGCGTAGGCCATGGTCGCATTCTGAAAGGCGATGGAGCCTTCAGAAGGCCATGTAAGAGGGGGGTTTTGGGTTGCGTGAGAAAGATGCTCGGTGGGCACCTTTCCGAAGCTTCGTATCCGAGATATGGCGCCTATGCTAGTATCTAGGGATGTCCAGCAGTTGATAAGCTCAGCGAGTTGTTCGTTCAATGTGATGAGAGATATGAGGGAGACTCCGATCAAGCCCATCTTGGGCACAACGACCGCGAAAACAGCCAACATGACTGCCAGAGCCGCGACAAGCAGATCTAGAACAAGAGCCAACCAGCGTTGAATGACGAACAGGAAGTAGTACGGTCGCTGGGATGTTTGCAGTAAGTCCCTGTGCTCCGCCTCAAAGTTACCCTGCCAGCAAAGGCACGGATAGTGATAAGACCGCTGAGAGTCTCGGTGAACTGGGTGTACAGTGATGACTTGGCTTCCAGCTCCAGATGGCGAAGCTGCCGAGATGAGTGAAGATAGAAGTTCTGGATCTAATAGATCACAAACACGGTGACAGGGATGAGCGTGGCCATGTATTCTGCTCCAATGCAAATGAACGCCACGCTGATGACACACTGGACGAGGTAGTTGGATGTCTTCAAGAAGTCTGCTGGAAGCGACCGATCTATCATTGTCATGTCTTGGCTGAAGCGGTTGAGGATGACACCAATGTCGGTTGATGTATGCCAGTATAGCGGTGCATCTTTGACCTTGGTTACCAAATGCTCGTGGAGTCGACTTGAGGACGTGGGGACGATGCGACAGAAGACGAGCCACATGCAGTAGGCCCAGAGGGCTGCCGCGGCCACTGCTAAGAATGTGTAAATGCCAATATACCGTGCCAGCTGTCCGAACGGGGTTTTTTCATTCGTCTCCGCCCACCACTGAGCCCAGAGACCTGCAGGAATGGATTAGTGGGAGGCGGAATGTGCATTCTCGTGTTAGGTGTACTCACTTGTGAATTGCGCACTGAAGAGACCAACAACCAGCGCTCCTGCATAAAGCATCATTGACCACCCGCCCGACGTGCGAAAATAGTAAGCATAGTCGTGCAAATCTCCTTTATGGCGTGCTAAGACGTCGTCAGGGTCTATTGGATTGCTGGATCGGGGTTTCTGTTTCTCTAGATCGAAATTGTTTTGTTGAAGGGATATGTCTTTGAACTCTTTCTGCATGACATGATCTCGCAATCTCTGGAGAATCTGAGGAGGTCCCTGCTCAACGATCGTTCCTTGATCAATGAAAATGGCATGGTCAGCATGAGCTAGATGATTCCACTCATGTGTCACCAATATCACCGCAACTCCGTTGCGACGTAAGATGCCGTCAGAAGCAAACACGCGGGCAAAGACCTGAGCAGCGGTGGTAGCATCCAGAGCACTCAGAGCATCATCAAAGATGGCTAGTTTGGTCCGCGCATACACTGCACGAGCAATGGCAACTCGCTGCCGTTGTCCACCACTCATTGAGATGCCGTTGCTGCCAATAACCGTGAAGTCTTTCTCGGGCAGAGCATCGATGTCGCGATCGAGAGCTGTCGCGTGAAGGATAGTGCGGTACCACTCTTCTTCATACGGGAAAGGGTCGCAGATGTTGTCCCGAATCGAGCGGTTACGGATCCATGTCTTCGTACCGCAATATGCGATGTTGGCAACATTGATGTGGATAGAGCCCCTGAGACAAGGCACTTCGCCGAGACATGCTTTCAGTAGTGTGCTTTTACCAGAACCAACTGGTCCGGCGACCATTGTTAAGGATGAAGGAGAAATTCTGATGTTCACATTCGTTAGTATAGGGTCTAATGTGCTTGTCCAGCCGAGGTCAGCGTCAGACAGATGAACTAGATCAGCCGTGGGAACATGCGTCCTCTCGAGTTTGCTTGGGCTTGGAAAGAGCTCAATGGATCCTGCAGTTTCAGTTTTCCCTTCGACTGCGGTTGATTTGGATGCGGCAGTGGCGGTCTGTGGCTGGGCAGCACGACGATCAGGCTTTGTGTCTGTTGTAAGATAGGCTTGAATCCTCTGGATGCTTTCCAGGGCGCCCGCCACTCGAGGTCCTGAGTAAACAAGGTTTGACAGCGGGGTACTCCAAAGAGAGATAACAGAGAGGGTGGTGAACGTCGCAGCCACATCCAAGGGGGCACGACCCGTATGAAGGGCGATGGCAGCATAGATACTCAACGTAAGCACTGGACTCAAATTTGTGATTGCACCACCTAGAAGTGCGTATTAGTCTTCACACGCTACACTCAGAGAACACCCTGCAGCTATATACCAAGCAGATTCATTTTCACCATAACATGGCGAAACTTCTTCCCCCTGTCCAACTCGTCGATTCGTAACTTCTGCATGATCAGTCCCAGGCGGAGATGCAGATTCAACATCTTGATGGCGGCAAAGGCATTCAGATAGCTGGAGGCAAACGCCACTCTCTGCTGTACGGCCTGCATCCATAATTTCTGCCGACCAGGCATTGAGCTAGAGAGGAGGTGCATAGATAGCATAGCCACGAGAGAAACAAAGGCAGGAACGGCCGCTGCCCAGGAGACTTGCCGCTGCAACAGGTACAGAGCAATACCGGTTTCCACAAGGCTAGCCCACACTTCATGCATGTTTTGGATTCCAAACGCAATATTGTCGATGTCATTGCTCATTAGAGTCAAGGCAGCCGACTCGCTGTACTCATCCAATCGCAGAGTCAGGGTCTTCTGGTAAATCAAGGAGACCACTGCGCCTCTGACTTTTGTTATCAGGCGGTAATTGTGATGCTGATAGAGACAATCGAATATCTGCACCAGGAAACTCGACATGAGCTTAGCTATCAATATGTCGCAATGGGCACATTGTGGTTCTTACCCTTTTGAGCAAGAACACCAGTCCAAACGCGCCTATCAAGCCATAACCCTTGTTCCGGTCAGGCTTGGCTTCCTCGACATAGTCCGTCAATGCCGTTATCAGGAACAGCTGCGAGTAGCTTAGTCCAATAAATGCTAGTCTCGCAATGAAAGAATAGATGATCGAGGAATTGAAAGTGTACATCATGCAGTAAGCCAAAGCATTGTGTGAACGTTTCGAGGCTGTGTCGCGAGTCAGAGACTTGTACACGAGCATCTGAACCTATCGTAAGGAGTATGACGTACCACGATTCCATGACCTATTCAACTGCTTATGCAGTACATCAGCGGATAGGCTTCTGTCAAGGTGCGGCAGATCGTCGATGGAGAACAGAGACTTGAAGCCTAGAAAGAGGTACGGGTTTGTCCACCAGAAAAAGGCGCGACTGTAGAGACCAGTGATCTCCTCATTGCCGTACTGAACTTCACCATGTTTCAGAAGTGCGCGCTTTGAGCGGGACTCTAAGCAAAACCATGTTGCCTTGATTGCAATACCTGCTGAATAGAGTCCCGCGATAGTAGTATTAGATGCAAGCCATAAGCTTCTAGCGCGCACCGCATCGAGAAGAAGGGACACAGATAAAGCAAGATTGAGAATGTGGGAAGGGTGGATAGAGAAGAGGTGTTCCCGATGCGACAGTAGCAATAGGCCAAGTGAGGTTGCGAAAGACAAGGCCGCAGCTGGTAGGGATGCTCGTGTTCGTGGCGCATGAGGCAAGAGCCAAACAATCAGTAATGCTAGTTGAGTTGCCCCAAATGCTTGTCCGAGGCCCTAGAAACAATAAAGTGTTAATCTCATGCCTACGGCTATGATCTGGACGAGACAATCGTACCAATTTGGCCCAGTAGAGCCAGCTTTGCGAGACCTTACTAATCCGCCCGGGTTGCAGCTGCTTCCAACGAACGGGAAGGATGAGCAAGAGCAGAATCGAGGGCGCAATTGAGAAGAAACATTCTTCGAAGAGTAATGTGAAGTCAAACCCGCCGCGACAACCATGGCTGGCTTGAGGACCGAACTCATTGTCTCCACAGGTGTGAATATTCTCCATTGGTCCGTAAGTCAATGCTGAGACAGGCTGTGGGGAATTCGAAGCTTCCAAGGGGGGGGCGTCAAGCTTATAATTATGGAAAAGCTGCATTAGTCTACGCGCTTTGGGCTGTGGCTGACGGAGGTCCGTACGGAGCTAACATATCTGAAGCCAACCACCCCTGAACGATAAGCAGACTTACATACAACCATCGAGAGCTGATGCATGACGCGCAACTACTAGGTCTAGTCCGAGCTCTAAAGAGGGAGCATCAGATTCTAGCTACCAGTACCCACCAATGGCCATCGCTACAGGGAACACCTCGATGCGAAGGTGCCCTAATCGGGAAGCACCGAGCCTTACAGCCAGTGATAGTCTTCAAGCCATTTATTTGTGATCTAAAGGTGATATTGCTTGGGTGTATTTACAGCAACATATACCGGACGTATGGGTTACATGGTAATTTTATGTCATACGGTCCAGCTCTGTTTTGCCCTAAGAATAGGGATTGACTGGTAGGAACTGACACTCAAGACATATACAACAAGAGGATAGATGAGAGCTTGACTTTGGAAATTCTTTAATCTGAACATAGAGAAATAATAATTTTTCTAGCGAAGGCGAGACGTGTGTATTAGTCTTGCTTTACATTATATATATAGCACACGCCAGTATAATCATTTTGAATGCGATATATAGCTAAGGATGGTTCAGGACTTTAAGTAAGATGTTCTCAAATAACATACGTTGAAACAGGTTAATGTTATCTCAGATAAGGTTTCAGACAGGTTTGCAAGGCAAAGAAAAAGACTTAGGCCAGATGTTGGAACTGCACAGTGTACGGTACGGGCGGGCTCGACCTGCTGCGGCGGCTGTCATTGCATCTGCGGGGCTGCCGCTGATCTTCCAATCTGGCTTCCAACTCTGCGGGGTTGACCATATACACTCATAGATACTGTAAATATCCACTCATAGTTTTACTTGATAATTCTTCCTTGGGTGTATGTCATGAACCACCGAGGTGATGTCATGGCTGCCTTGGCAGCTCCTGGCTCAGCCACATTGCGAGGTCGGCCTTAGGCTGCGCCACAGTGGTTACCATGGTTCGGTCCGGAAGGCGCCTCCGTCCCCTCTCGTCATCGCAAAACGTTCGTTCGCAGCATTGAAGATGATTCTTGATTCTTCCTTCCACTCCCCTCCTCTCCTCTCATAACTTACTTGCTACTTGCAAACATCCGCAGCTTCAAGTAAACTATTTCCAGAATCAGCTATCGGACAGATAACTATGTCCTACCCCTACCACCAGCCACCGGTGATGCACAGCCAAGGCCCACCAGCCCAGTGGGACTACAATCAAGGACAAGGTCATCCAACACCTTACCCCGGACTGCACGGTGCATATGGCCAACAACCATCGGCGCCAGGCTGGCTGCCGCCGCCAGGAGGAGCTCAGCAGCACGGATACCCCGCCAACAACAACTATCAATATCCACCTCCACCTCCACAGCAGCAAGGGTACGGCCCCCCTCCCGCCTTTCCATCGCTCGGCTATGCGCCCGGCCAAATGGCCCCCGGGGATTTTCGTCGCGAAGCCGACGCCCTGCGCAAGGCGATGAAAGGCTTCGGGACGGACGAGAAGGGCCTAATTGCCGTGCTGGCCCGGCTAGATCCGCTGCAGGTCGCCGCCGTCCGCGCCACGTACCAGTCCCACATCCGCCGGGACCTCTACGCCGACGTCAAGTCCGAGACGAGCGGCTATTTTCGCCAGGGGCTCCTCGCCATCATCGACGGCCCCCTGGCCCACGACACGGCGCTCGCCCGTGAAGCCGTGCAAGGGATCGGCACCAAGGAATGGCTCCTGAACGAGGTCCTCCTCGGCCGCTCGAACGCCGATATCCGTGCCATTCAAGCCGCCTACGAACGCACCTATCGCGGTCGCTCGCTCCAGCAAGACGTCGCCGACGACCTCTCCTTTAAGACCAAAACGCTCTTCACCGCCGTGCTGCGCGCCGCGCGCCACGAGGAAAGCATGCCCATCGACTACCGCCTCATCGAGAGCGAAGCCCAGAACATCCACGGCGCCACGGCCGCCCGCATCGTCAACAACGCGGACGAAGTCACCGCCCTCTTTGCGCGTACCTCCGACAACGAACTCCGCGCGCTCAACCAGGCCTTTGCCAGCCGATACCATCTGTCTCTGGAATCGCACATCGAGAAGGAATTCTCCGGGCACATGAAGGACGCACTGCTGTACATGCTCCGGACGGCCTTGGATCCGGCGATGCGCGACGCGGTCTTGCTGGAAGAGGCCATGAAAGGGATGGGGACAAAGGACAACCAGCTGGTGGTCCGCGTGGTGCGCCTCCACTGGAATCGCCAACACATGGAAATCGTCAAGCGCGCTTACCACCACCGCTTTCGGACCGATCTAATCCAGCGTGTGAAGGGGGAGACAAGCGGGGATTATCAGAGGTTGCTTGTGGCTATGCTGGAATAGCGGCTGCGGTTGACACGTTGTCAGGATTTTCCTTTTGTTGTTCACTTCGTCAAGTCTCACAGTTTTCTGGGCTGCACTGGCGTTTCTTTTGTGGATTCTATGGTGCTACTATACCCTCTGTTACCCGGATTGGTACGAGATGATGGCCTGTGGTTTTGCTTTTCTGTTACATTTCTTTCTTACCTTCGTCGCCTATCCAGATAGTTCTAATTGATCAAAATCATAACACTCACAACTTCCCTTCATGGTTCCTTGGGAGCCCATCCATTCATCTCGACTAACCCAGTGCTGCAATAACCTCATCGACTATTGAGTCTGGGCCCTTCCAGTCTACCGGTACAAGCAGCAGGCTTCTCGAGCTAGCCCATAGCTGCCACACTTAGATTGGTTGAAATTAACGGGAAAGGTATATTCTAGAAGAATGAGCATGACAATACTCGAGGAGATATAACCTCTATATGCAGCTCCATACGCTGTATCTAAGACTAGGAGTATTACCAGGTTAGCTGTTGAACAAACGCCCCTTTTCCGCTGCTACATTTATATGTTGGAGATCCGAGCATACTATCACCGCTTGAAGTAGTCAGGTATACATATACATTCCTGCGTTGATCTCTACACAGCCTCATCCTAAACCATCGATTCAAGAAGGATTTTGAAACTAATATCTAATCTTGTATTTGAATAGACGTGGTAGTGTGGTTTACCTGAAAGCCCAAGGCGGCAAGCAGCTCGGGGCAGAATTCGCGAGAACTCCGGAGCATCGCCGGGCCACGCACTCGGATCCGGATCCAAGCTTCCCGACTGGCTCGATCCGCCCCACAGGCCTTGGCAGCCGGCCAGATCCCGGATTGCGCCCGAGAGAAGTAGATACGTGTAAGTTACTGGTTGTAGCAGCACATCACCACACCTGGCCCATTGGAGAGCCAATTTCGGGACTGCCAGTTTAAACACACCCACTTACAGCGGAGTTGATACAGATACAGTCAGCTATGGCCAAATCTCTCTACGCCATTGTCGCCGACCTAGATAAGTACGTAGATCTTCCTGCACACATCGCAAGAACCACGAGGATGGATTGTTGATCGAACTGTACTGCACCACCCAGCGTCCCGTACAGTGATACCGAGCCAGCGCTGCACGCTAATATCCTCGACAAATATCATGCGCTGCGAGTCGAGGGCATCGATGCGGATCTGGGATTCATCCCCACGACCCTGGTGCGGCGCATTCCCTGGCCGGAAAGGGACTGGGTGGTTGTCGAGCATCCCCGCGCAGTCGTTCTCATGACGCCTCCCGAGACACCTGCCTCTTGTTCTCTCCGGACGCAGATTCTGGAAGCTGTTGTCGGCCGGATGATCGAGGCTGGACTCACCGGTATCCGGGACGGCTGGCGCGATGAGCGGTTTGCGGTCTACGGGCCGGACGGCGACGTGGTTTTTGAGGTTGAACGGTCGGCCAGTGCGTATTTCGGCGTGGTGACCAGTGGGGTGCAGATGCTGGGGTATGCCATCCACGATGACGATGGGGATGAGCATGGTCGAATCCGACTGTGGATAGCGAAACGCTCGATGAGCAAGCAGACCTATCCGGGGATGCTGGACTGTACTGCAGCCGGGGCCTTGGCTGTTGGGCAGACGCCGCGCAGTACGGTCATGCTGGAGGCTGCGGAGGAGGCGTCGATTCCCAGGATGGTCCTGGAAACGGGCCTGCGACGCAGCGGAGGTATTTCGTACTTCCATGCCAAAGGTCTCAGACCACAATTCGAGGGGGATGACGACTCAGTGGTGCTGCTCTTGCCCGAGGTGGAATACCTCTATGAGCTTCAACTGGACCCCGGGACGGTGCCTCGGCCAACGGATGGAGAAGTGGAGGACTTTCGGCTTTGGGATGTGGACCAGGTGCTCGACGCGTTGCGGAGAGGACTGTTCAAGCCGAATAGCGCGGTTGCTATCATCGACTTCCTCATTCGACATGGTATGATCAGTCGAGAGAGAGAGCCAAGGTATGGCGAGATAGTGACGAGACTGCATCGACGTCTGCCATTGCCGTGGCGCCAGAGTTGGGATGACTAGGATGTGTTCCTGGGTGGTAGCTTGTATGGTCCTCAACCTTTGCTATGCATAGTATATTATTATGAGGATATTCGACCCGAGAGGAAGATGCTGTCGCTCTTTTCGGAATATCAAAAACCTGCCGAAGGAAGTGCTTGGTTGGAGCACATAACGTAGTCTAAAAGGTGGGGATTAGTTAAATCCAGCGAACGGCACCGAGTTGACGTATATGACACTCATCAGGTGTTGTAGTCCACACCATCTCCGCGGAGGTCCAAATAAGGCAATAACCTTGATGCTCCAAGTGACACTATGCTGGGCATTAGGTAAAACTTCCCGCCAAGACTCCCTTCAGTTGGTCGAAGAAGTTACCCTGAAGGGACAAACTCCAATGAGCCGGCGGTCTGGATGCGGTGGATCCGGCCGATACCGCAGAATGTCGAGATCTGAACTCATACTTCGATTTAGTCAAATTCTGTCACTTATGAAACCATCTTTACTTATATTCAACCTCCATCCTGCGTGAGAACTGCAGTCTTAATACACCACCATAGTCACCTAAATCGGTGCTCTTCCCCCGCCCCCCCCCCCCGAACTATACCCAACACCATCCCAAACTCATATCTCAAGATGTTACACGTCACCCCTCCGGCAAGGAACATCCTCGACGCAATAGGCAAGACCCCCGTCATCCGCCTGAACCACGTGGCACCCCCCGACAGCGCCGCGATCTACATCAAGCTGGAATTCCTGAACCCAACAGGCTCGTACAAGGACCGCATGGCGCGGTCGATCATCGAGGAGGCCGAGCGGCGCGGCACCCTGCGCCCAGGAATGACCGTCGTCGAAGCCACAGGTGGGAGCACGGGCTCGTTGCTGGCGTTCATCTGCGCGGCCAAGAAATATGCCTTCCGGGTGGTGTCGTCGGACGCGTTCGCGCTGGAGAAGCTGCGCACGATGGAGGCGCTGGGCGCCACGCTGGACCTGGTGCCCGGCCCGGCGGGCATCACGCCGGATCTGATCCCGTCAATGGTCCGCCGCGCGAAAGAATTGGCGCAGGGGGAGGACTACTACCTTGCGGATCAGTTTGACAACAAGGATGCGAGTATTGGGTATGAGGGGATTGGGCATGAGTTGGTGCAGCAGTTTCCCGGCGGCATTGATGCGTTCTGTGGGGCGGTGGGGGGCGCGGGGATGGTGATGGGCGTGTCGAGGGTGCTTAAGGCGCAGTGGCCGTCCACGCGGGTCGTGGTGCTGGAGCCGGCGTCCTCGCCGACGATTACGGCGGGGCGCCCGGGGAAGCACGGCGTCGAGGGGATCGGGATTGGGTTCGTGCCGCCGCATTTGGAGCGCGAGTTGTATGACGAGGCGTGGGCGGTTGAGGAGGAGGAAGCGCGCGCGATGTGTCGGCGTCTGGCTAGGGAGGAAGGGTTGCTGGTCGGGACGTCGACGGGTCTCAATGTGGTGGCGGCGATTGCGTTGGCAAAGCGTCTGGGGCCGGGGAAGACGGTTGTGACGGTTGCGGTGGATACGGGGCTCAAATATATGAATGGGAACTTGTTCACTGGTTAGGCTCTCCTGTCGGAATATCTAAAGGATATGGATCAATCTTTGGTCCATTGCGTCATGTTTCCTGGGTTATACAGGATCTTCGGGTGACATGCACATATTGATGATAGAAACCTGTCGCAGGACTAAGAGAAGAAATTCTGAAGTCCGTTTGCCGTCTGTTTTATGATGATACTCCATGTCAAAGCACATACTTAAGGTGAGATTCCCAGTAAGAACATCTATATGAAGGAAGTGTGTAATAAGTATTCAGAGAAAGTAATCTATACTCTAAGCAAGAGCTCTAGGTGGCATAACCAAATAGAAGAGTAACATGAAGAGAATAAGGACAGAAGAGTCGAAGCAGAGATACCCTGGTGGTACATTTGCATACAGCAGTTCCGCGAAGAAGAAAAATCAATCCAAAATAAAAAAGCGATTCGAGGAAGGGATCCAACGAGAGTCAGGAAAGTAATAGATAAATGAGTCGAGTAGGTGAAATGAGTCTAGACGACAAAGGTAGGGTGGTGGTATATCGGGGCTTTGCTGTAGGGAATGTGGCAAGTCATTCACAAAGACATTCTAAGGCAGCGGTCGGTGCAAACGATAGGCAGTGATGTAGCAGTAAAAAGCACCGCATGAAGTTATAGCAAGCAAATCACGCCTTCTTGGCTTTGCCAGCCGACTTGGGAACTCTGGCCAACCAGTAAATCCCCACCGCGGCCGCAATGTTGAAGATGATGTACACCCACATGAGCCCGAAGTTCCGCCACGCGTCGGAGAAATAGCTGGAGACGGATGCGAGGAACGTGTCCGTGCTGCTGATGGTACAGAACTGGCAGTTCGACGTTGCCGATGGATCTTCCAGGTACCCACCCGCGACGCTGATGTAGGCCTTCATGTAGCTCTCACACGTCTGATTGTTTGGGGGGTTGAAAGTCAAATACTCGACGGACTCGCAAACCGCCTTTGTTCCGGAGATACCCGTACTCAGCATCGCTGAGACCAAATATGTGAAGGGCGATACACGGTACATAAAGATCCAGAATCCTGGCATCGCCTCCGGGGTAGCCAAGACACCGCAGAAGATCAAGCAGAGAGAGAAGAGAAGCGTCGCGATATTACCACCAGTCTCGGCCAATTCGATGCCGGCGATGACCATGTGAGCGAATGTGGACGTGAAGAGGAGAAAGACCCAGATCAGAAGGAACATGAGCGCCGAGCGCTCGTTCACTGCGTGCGTGGGCTTGGCGTTGTTGTATAAACCAATGGGATAATACCAACAAACGAACATCAGGACCGCCATCAAGGTGTTCCATGGCAATTCGACCAAAATGTTGGCAGTCATGAATGCCTGCCAGGAATAGGCCTTGGAGGGCCGTTCACGGACTTCATACAGCGAACGTTGGGTACAGAAGAGCGGCATGATCTGCTGACAGAGGTTGCCAAAAATGGTCATCAGCATAAAGATGGAGAACATCTGGTTCTGCATGCCTTGAATCGAGTTGCTCGCGTGGAAGAAGGAGAAACCGATGTAAAGAGCGGTCAAGACAGACAGAGCAGTTTTACTCCAAATATAGGTCGGGGTGCGGTAGTACTGCGCAAACACCCGAACCAGGCATTCGTAAAGCTG